CACAAAGTCAATCTCGATAAAAATGTATGAGTAATGGTGCGATCAATGAGTGTTAGAAATTATTTCACTCTCATCTTTCCCATTACAGTTTTTCAATGAGAATGGAATGAAGAACGAAGTCGAGCACATGCGAAGATGGCTAAGGGATCCAAGGCATCAAGAGTTCTCCAAGTGACAGTAGAACTCCTCAACTATGGCATAGGTTTATCCAAATTTCTCCAAGTTGATGGCATAGGTTTATCCAGATTTCTGTTAGCAGTCATAAAACCATTCCAAGACAAGCGAAGCTCATAGTGACAAGAATCATTCCAAAGCATTGAACACCATTGCCTACACAAACAAAAAGCAAGTCTGGGTTTGTTGGCGGTCTAAACACGTTTCCATGAACGAGTTTCCAACCTGTCTATTCAAGGACCTCTTCGTGAGTCTCTGACTGATTGTAGTTGGAGATATTTGGGTAGAGTGTTCGTGTCATGATCATAGGGACCATACCAGAGAGGAAAAGAACAATCATCACCGAATTAACAATTGAGAACCAATGAATTTGATCATCAGCCATCAGAAGGTAAGTGTCTGATGTGGTGGGTTATTCAAGCTTTAAATTTATAAGCCTAGATAACCTGCAAGTGCACAGGCAAACGCACTTAGCGGTCGAATCCACATGGACCTCATACTTGTACTACAAACTTATAGGAATCAAATCAAGCTAAAACAAAGAAATATGGTTTTGGTTTTTAAAGTGCATAAGGCACAAAAATAACTAAGTAAAAGAGATTTAGAATTCAAAGTAAACAAACGTTAGGCAAATAGGATCATCGCAGAGATTCATAAATCATTAAGCAACATATCGAATTTTAGGAACTTTTTAGAGAGATGTGTTCTAAAACTCAAATCACGAATATATAATCCTCCTACTGTCGTGGTTTAGATTAATATGTTTTCACTTCCTAATAGACTCAACAATCACAGGTTATTACAAGAAGAAAATATGCGTAAAGTTCAAGATTCGATTGTTCACTAAACTTCTTAACTAACCTTTCAAATTGTTAA